AATAAGATATATGTTAAAATATGTTAAATTCATTACACACACAATACCATTCTTTCAATATGATATAAATTATAAATTCTTTAAATATAGTATTAAATTATATGTTAAATTATTAAAAATTATTTTGTTTGTGTAGTATTTTCACTGTGTCACTGTACTACACTTTTGTTACACTCTGGCGTTTTTCTTGAAAAGCATACACTTTACACGATGTTTCNCCCACTTCCAAAAAGTATAGTGTATTAAAAATGTAAGGTGTACACTTTACACTTTTCGTGTATGCAAGTAAAACAAACCTATTAACACCGACATTTCATTTTACTATATGGAAGCAGTTTATTGACATTTTCATTAAAGAAAGCAATCGCATGGTTACAACTTTAAAAAATGCTAGAGAACCGGTTGTGAATGAGTTACTATCATTTATGAGCGAACATACGCTAAACATAATATGTGGTAATTTGTGCCTTGTTACTGTATTCTCTGTTCTTATTTTTATTACAAATACGATAAAATACAGAAAATATATTCTTTTTAATCAAAACTATGATAAATAAAACATCGATATTTGTTACGCATGCACTGCATTCTTAATTGTAGAATTAACTTTAGGTATCTCTTCAGAAAATTCTACCAAATCACAACAATATCGTAATGCTCTTCATCAGATAGGTGAAGTCATTGTTTACAGGTAATATATAAATATATGATTTCTATCAAGTATTTTCATCAGCATATTAAATAGTAATACCGCCAAAAATTGTTGTTAAGATTTCAAAGGATCTGGTTGTACAAGGAATGGATAACTACATTGTTACCAATAGGCAGAAAACAAAGAAAACTTGTGAACACTTTGCATAGCTTCACAGAAAAAGTACGTAGAAATAATTTAGAACCGTGATCATGGGATAATACTTTATATTTATACACACTAAAAACACAGATAAAAAATGAATACTAAGCACTATATTTTATGTGTTTGTAGATCATTGCAGAAAGGAAACAGTATCACAAACGCACTGATGATTTTCGATATTTAAAAAACATCGAAAATGATACATATGCAGAAGTAGATGATACAAACATCATTGGCAGTATGTAACAGTATAAAGTAATGGATCATATGTGATCATGTAATCGTAATTCAAACAGTAAAATATAGTTTTTTATTATTTGAAATAGATAAAAAACAATTCTATAACAACTTGTCTCATATAAAATTCAATCAATCTGTTGTTCTAATAAAATTAATATTTATACTCTTTAGACAAAACAAGTTTAACAGAATATTGAAACAAAAAACTTGATATATCATTTGTTGTGAGCCAATTTTTGTGTTAAGATGAGGCCATTGAGCAATGTGATGAGACATCACTGTCATTGCTCAATGACCTAGTTAGGTAGCAGGAAGGCAGCAGTTCTAGGAAGAACTGCTGGTTGCCACAGGGCGCGACACATCG